AAGAAGCAACTTCGCAGTGGCCGAAAAATGGCTCGTAAACTAAACTTACACCGCAACAAAAAGAAAATATACTCAAAAGAGCTAAAGAGTTGCTTCGCTTGGCCGAAAGTGGTGAACTGCCGAATTTTGTATTCTCCAATGAGAAAACATTCGTTGTCCAGTAGTTTTTAAACAAACAAAATGATCGTGTTTACTTGCCAAAGAGGTCAGCTGAAAATGTGCACCTTCGGTTGGCCACCAGAAGTCGAGCCTGAATCCGGCCATGGTGATGGTCTGATTCAGTGGCCGCCATAACAGCCGATGGTTGCTCTCCGCTCGTATTAAGCGACCGTGGCATCAGAATAATTGCCAAATATTATCGCGAAAATATTCTGCAGGGTGTATTCAAGCCTTGGGCACGCAAACATTTTGGCCGCAGACCTTGGACATTCCAACAGCTCTCAGCACCAACGCACTCAGCACGCGCCACCCAAGAATGGTTACAAAATGAGGTTCCTCGCATCATTTTCAGCGCACAATGGCCACCAAAATATCCGGATACAAATCCGTTGGACTATTGTGTCTGGAGTATTTTGGAAAGCAAGGTTGGCACTAAAAAATACCAAAGTGTCGATCACCTCAAGCAAGCGCTTCACCGGGAATGGGCCAAAATACCGCAGAGCAACATTCGGCTAGCGTTTGGCGGTTTCATTGGCCGTTTGAAGGTCATAATTCGTGCCAAAGGTGGCCAATTTGAAGAAATCTAAAATTTGATGTTATTTCCGACGTTATTCGCATTCATTCAATAAAATAAAAAAAAAATCTAAAAATTATGGCGTTTGACTTTGTTGCAGTTTTTGTTTTATCTCACCCTGTATACATAAAATGCACGGATTCCTAGGAATCTTCATCCGAAAATATTCCAAAGTGTGGAAAAGAGAGGAACTTTCTTCAAGCATTTTGGTTATTTTTCGATGCAAACCTTCAAAACGCCGGTGCAGGTGTCTTTTTTAGCTCTGCACAGTGTTGTAGTATACATTTTCAAAACCGCTCCTTCTCTCAACCACAGACACCAACAGCAGCTTCCATATCAAATTTTAAAATTTCAGCCATGTTCCTTCTCCAAATACAACATTTAGTATTTTTCGTACAATTATAGTACACGGAGTCAAAACCACTTCCATATCTTAACCACAGACACCAACAGTGACATCTGTACCAAATTTCAGGATTCCAAATATATTTCTTCACCCAATGTCACATTTAGTACGATTTAGAACTTTTCGTAAAATTATAGTACACATCTTCGAACATATCACATCGCGGCTACACCTGACAATCCACTCTAATACCAAATTCAGATCTCAAGCACTATCTGTTCACCCAATACCAAATTGTACCAACTTTAGTACGCATTTCCATCAAATCACTTCCATATCTCAATCCCAGATACCAATAGAGACCTCAATATGAAATTTTGAGGATTCCAGCTATATCCCTTCAACCAATACAAATTTTGGTATCATTTAGTACTTTTCGTAATCTCAAACACAAATACCATCTAAATATCAAATTTAAAAAATTTAATCTCTATCCCTTCACCCAATACCAAATTTAGTACTATTTAGCACTTTTCGTACAATTATGGTACACATTACCGAAATCACCTCCATATGTCCTGGCTAAAGATTTCAAGCAATATCTACTCACACAATACCAAATTGTATCAAAAAATATATAGTACTATTTAGTACATATTTCCAAAATTACTTCTTTATCACACCACCTACCACCAACGGTCATCTTCCTCCGTGCATCCTTAACCAAAATGTTCCAATTTTAGTACTATTTAGTAAAGTTGGCACACTTCGTACCCATTCCTAAATTTGTACAAAAAATTGCACTATTTAGTACTTTTTGTACATTTGTACTAAATATTTCTAAAACAGCTCTTTATAGCAAATTTACCATTAATACGGACAGCAATACAAAATTTCAAAATTTTACCTTCATCCTTTCAATCCAAACTGTTCCAAATTTAGTACTACTTGGTACAGTTCGCCCACTTAGTACACATTTCCAAAACCACATTTAAAATTACTCCTTACATCCTTAATTATCATACCGAATTTCAAGATATTAGCTCTTTGCGTCCACATAATATCAAATGGTACCATTTTAGAAATTTAGTATCATTTTAGAAATTTTCCTAACCTAAAAGTTCTGATTTCCCTTTGATTACCCTTTGGTACATCTATCCTGCACTCCATCAGTGATTCACATTCTGAATTTCAGATTTCTTGCTCATTCCGTTTGTCCAATACAAAGTATTTAATATTTAATACATTTTAGTCCGAATTTCCGAAAACCCCTTGTGCAAAATTTCAAGATTCTAGCTTCAGCCGTTTCGTCTGGGCATTGACTCTTAGTCAGTCAGTTATTTCACTAACCTTTTACACACATAGATATATATATAGGCCTTTATTTTCCACACAGTGCTTTTGAAAAAAAAAATAGACCTACCTTGGCAACCCATGAAGATGTGTGCTCTCATTCTCTCTATATCTCTCACACACTCTCTCATTACACACAATGATGTGTACTTAGACATGTATAAAAGCTTTAAGTTCAGCCGGGCCGAACTTTGAATACCCTCCACCATTTGGTACAAATTTAACATTTTTCAAAAAAATAAAATCCGTTAAAAATTCTCTTAAAATCTTAAAAATACCGAATATATCCGTGGGCAATTTTTGTCACAAGCTACTACAATATTCAAATGCGAAACTTGAAAAACAAATCTGTTTATAATGTAGCTAAAATCTTAAAACTACCGAATATCGGGAGGTACCATTATATGGGGGCTATACGAAAACGTGGACCTGCATAGCTCATTTTCTGTCATAGGCTGTAGTATTAATTACGAACTTCAAATACGACATTTGAAATAGTTTCGGTAAATAATGTCGCTAAAATCATCAAAATGCCGAATACCGGGGGGTACCCGTATATGAGGGCTATTCGAAGACGTGGACCTACATGGCCCATTTTCTGTCTTAAGCCCTAATATCTATTATGAACTTTAAATACCAAATTTGAAATAGTTCCGGTAAATAATGTCGCTAAAATCATCAAAATACCGAATATCGGAGGGTACCGTTATATGGGGGCTATACGAAGACGTAAACCTTTATGGCTTATTTTCTGTCCTAGGATGTAGTATCTATTACGAACTTCAAATACCAAATTTGAAACAAATCTGGTAAAAAAAAATCGCTAAAATCATCAAAATACCGAATATTTGAAGGTACCATTATATGGGGGCTATACGAAGACGTGGACCTGCATAGCTCATTTTCTGTCTTAGAATGTAGTATCTATTACAAACGTTAAATACTACATTTGAAATAGTTCCGGTAAATAATGTCTCTAAAATCATCAAAATACCGAATATCGGGGGGTACCGTTATATGGGGGCTATACGAAGACGTGGACCTACATGACTCATTTTCTGTCTTAGGATGTAGTATCCATTACGAACTTTAGATATCAAATTTGAAACTATTCCGGTAAATAATGTCACTAAAATCATCAAAATGCCCAATATCGGAAGGTACTATAATATGAGGGCTATACGAAGACGTCGACCTGCACAGACAATTTTCTGTCATAGGCTGTAGTATCCATTACGAACTTCAAATGCGAAATTTCAAACAATTCCGGTAAATAATGTCGCAAAAATCATCAAAATACCGAATATCGGGGGGTACCCTTATATGGGGGCTATTCGAAGACGTGGACCTGCACAAACAATTTTCTGTCATAGGCTGTAGTATCCATTACGAACTTAAAATACGAAATTTGAAACAATTCCGGTAAATAATGTCGCTAAAATCATCAAAATACCGAATATCGGGGGGCACCGTTATATGGGGGCTATACGAAGACGTGGATCCGCACAGATGATTTTCTGTCATAGGCTGTAGTATTAATTACGAACTTCAAATGCGAAATTTGAAACAATTCCGGTAAATAATGTCGCTAAAATCATCAAAATATCGAATATCGGGTGGTATCGTTAAATGGGGGCTATACCGAGACGTGGACCTGCACAGGCCATTTTCTGTCATAGGCTGTAGTATTCATTACGAACTTCAAATGCGAAGTTTGAAACAATTTCGATAAATAATGTCGCTAAAATCATCAAAATACCGAATATCGGGTGGTACCGTTATATGGGGGCTATACGAAGACATGGACCTACATGGCCCATTTTCTGTCTGAGGATGTATTATCTATTACGAACTTTAAATACTAAATTTGAAATAGTTCCGGTAAATAATGCCTAAATCATCAAAATACCGAATATCGGGGGGTACCGTTTTATGGGGGCTATACGAAGACAGGTCCACCTGCACAGACAATTTTCCGTCATAGGCTGTAGTATTATTGACGAACTTCAAATACTAAATTTGAAACAATATCGGTAAATTATGTCGCTAAAATCATCAAAATACCGAATATCGGGAGGTACCGTTATATGGGGGCTATACGGAGACGTGGACCTACATGGCCCATTTTCTGTCTTAAGGCCCAATATCTATTAAGAACCTTAAGTACCAAATTTGAAATAGTTCCGATAAATAATGTCTCTAAAATCATCAAAATACCCAATATCGGGAGGTACCGTTATATGGGGGCTACACGAAGACGTAAACCTTCATGGCTCATTTTCTGTCTTAGGATGTACCATTCATTACAAACTTTAAATACCAAATTTGAAACAATTTCGGTAAATAATGTAGCTAATATCATCAAAATACCGACAAACTTAATATACCCTCCATACTATGGTGGAGGGTATAACAAGATCGTCACTCATTATTGGCACAAGTACACATTGAGAAAATAAAAAACATTATTTTTGTGAATTTTTCTTAGTTGACAAACTTTAACAGTAGAACACACACACACACATACACACCCAAACCCTCCCTCACACAGCGATACGCAAGCAGGCAAGAAAACCAGCACTCTGCTTTTCTGCTGCCCATATAGCCAATGATAGGTTGAATCCAACATTTTAGTCGGCATCTAACTGCCCAAGTATTGAGACACAACGAACGAAAGTGGTGAGTCAAACACTGCACCCCGGTTATCGCGAGAAAAATAAACACAAGTGTTTTTTTCTCTCCACTTATCTGCTATCTTCCAGCAAAGCAAAAATAGATAGCAAACGAACGAAAAAACAGAAGAAATCGTATATAGAATAACCCAATAAGAATATAAAGTAGTAATAGCCAATTTCCGGTTATACTTTCGACAAAAAAGAAGAAGACAAAACAAACGCCACTTTAAAAACCATGGATAAGTCACAACCTCCACCATACACCGAAACTCAGCCAGGCTATACACCTGCCAGTTACTACCAACCGGGCCAACAGCAACCGAATCTATATCCCCCAATGCCCCAGCCAGCACAAAATTATCAACCCCCACCACCACAACCCCAGGTGCAACAGCCACCAACGGTGATCATTCAGACCCGTCCCCAGCTGATTGGTTTGGGCAACCAGCCGACACGTATGCAGTGTCCTTCGTGTCATGCCGACATCATGACAACGGTGAAACATTCAGCCAATTCCAGGACCCATTGTTGGGCGCTGTGTCTGTGCTTGTTCATGTAAGTATTTTGAAAGTATTTTTTTCCTCCATGGCATCGGGGATTTCCATGAAATCCAAAAAAAAAAATGAATAATTTGCCATAAAAATTGATTATGAATATGAGTATTGAATTGAGACAGGAGAATTTATTTTGTTCGCTGAATTAATCACCTATACGATAACTTCAGCTACTGTCGAGGGGTTTTGATAGCTGATAATCTAATCAACGGGTCGAACAACATCAGGGTGAATTACTTGGAAATTTGTTGTTCATTTCGAAAATGGAATTTGAAAAAAAAACAACAAAACAAAGTTTTATAAATAAAAGTGAATTCAATTCATTAGTGGAAATATTTTCACAGTCGCTAGATAAGATCCTCTAGCGATGATAGGAATTCAGGATGTGTGTTTAGACCCTCCACCAGAAAATGGAGTTAATATGAAATTTGCTAATTGCTTTGCAACACATTGTTAATATTTCTCAGAGAGAGAGAGAGAGAGAGTGGGAGAGAGAGAGACAGCAGGGTGAGAGATAGTGTTAAAAAAATTAAAATTGAATGATCTGTGTGCCACAGAGAGAGAGAGAGAGAAAGAGAGAGAGCAGAGTGAGAGAAAATACTAAAAAGGTACTTAAACGGACAGAGCTAGAATTGTGAAATTTTGAATGACGATCGCTGATTGGGTATTGGATAGATGTATCAAATTGGAAACCATGACTTATAAAAAAGTACTGAATTGTACTAAACTTGTTGGAATAGGGCTGTACTTATCAATTTCGCTATGAGGATAACTATGGATTCAATAATGGGCGCAAGGAAGGAAGAAAAGTAGTAGATTCGTTATGAAGAGTAGGAATGGAGCAGGAAATATAAAGTCTTCAATCCCTTGAATTCTTTATCTAAAGGCGATCTCTCCAAAGGTCATTTATGGGACCTTATATCTTTAAAAGGCGCTTAAAATATAGAAGAAAACCTTTTGAAAGCCTTCCAACCGAGACTTGTTAAAATACCTATTTAGGATCTTCAATTTCCAAATATATCTATTTATAGAAGGTTTTCTGTCTACATAAATTCTCAAAATTAACTTCTCTTTATAAGAATTTCAGAAAATGTCATATTTCTTCTCTACAAGTTACTTCCATATGAAGTTGCCTCTGGTGGACCCTCCAAATATAGAAGAGGGCCCCTTCAAAAGTTTGTCCTCTTTTGTCTTCTAAATAAGGGAGATATCTCCCTTAGCCTTCTTTACAGAAAATTCCTTGAAGTCATTTCATCTACAGAAGACCTTCCGAATGGGTTCAAATATACTAGAGGATCTCTTTAAAGCCTTCCATCTCTTAAAGGTTATCTGGCTATTAAAGACCTAAACATTTCGTCCTCCAGAGGTCTTCTATATGTTCAACATTTAGACTTCTTCTAAAATATCGTCAAAATATAGAAGAGGTCGCTCGTGAAAGCCTACCATCTTTAGAATATATCTGAGATTTATGCTACATAGAAAATTCACCCAATATGCAAAACCTCTAGACAGATTTTCTCTATAAGACACCCCTTTTTCAGCAGACCACTACTTGAGGTTCGACTAAATACAAAAATATCCGTTTAAAACTCTTGGAAGAGATCAAAAAAGTCTTCTTTGAATAGATATCTCTATAGCCTATAACAATTGTCCCTAAAATGGAGGACCTCGAAGAGCCTTCCTCCCTGCAGGATCTTCACTGAAAGCTCTTTTTAATAAGAATGATCTTAAGGAGGTCTTTTAAACAGATGTACTCAAAAATGTCTACAAAATTAAAATAGCTCTGGAAGGTTTTCACAGAGGACCTTTAGAGAGAGTTCCGCTATTTGAGAACTCTTAAAGGATTTCCATCTACAAAATACCTTAGAAAGACGTTTTGAATTAAAAAAAGACCACTAGCCTCTCTTTAAATATAAGGAACACCTTGAAGGTCCAAAATCTATAGAGAGCCTCTACAATGTACTCTTAATAAAATAGGTCTCGGGAAGGTCTTCACAATACACAGAGCCTATAGACAGGTTTTCCTTTAAGGAGATCTCTTAAAGGCTTTGCTCTCATAGAATATCCATCAAAAGTCTTTGAAATAAAAGAGACCTCCAGAGGGTCTTTAAAATATTAAGGATCTTCACAAAGTCTTCCAAAAATAGGACATCCTTTAACGGTTCTCTGCAGTTTTTTTGCCTTGAAGGCCTGCCATATGTAGAAGACTTCTATTAAAAATGAAATGTATAGAAAATAAAAATAGAAAAGACCTCCATTGAGAACCTCTCGACAATCTTCGAAAACCAAGGCAATCTGGAAGAACAGTTTGAGGCCTTCTGTTTGGCAATGACCTTCTCGAAATTTTCTATAAAATATAATGGGGTCTATTGCGAATAGGAGGCCATCCGGACGTTATGTTGTTAATCAATAGATAAATAGATCCTGCTTCCCTCGGTGAATGAAGCCATCTGTTTAAAAATGGCCTCCTCGAGATTTTATATAGAATATCAGCTGGGGGCAAATAGCAGACCATCTAGAGGTTCTACTTTCTGGAGGTCTTCCATGCATAAAGGTTTCCTAGATGGACTTTTGCATACCTTCCACTAGAAAAATCATCTTGAAGACCCTTTATGCATAGAAGAACTCCAGAAAGTAGAATTTCCATGGTAGAACCTCCAGATCGTCAGCTATATGCAAAAGATCTACAGATGATATTCTAGAGAAAATGTCGAGAAGTTCATTTCTAAACAGAAGGCCTCAAAAGGTATAGCTGAGATCATTCTAATAAGACCTCAAGCAGATCTCTGAATTGTATACCCTCCACCATTCTATGGAGGGTTCATTTAGTTTGTCTTTCCGTTTGTAACTTCTTGAAATATTCATGACAGACCCAACATAGACCCAAAAAAAAAAAACAAGAGAGAGAAGTTAAAATTTTGCACACGTGTGTATTTTGCCAGTAGGCAGGTTATGTTCGGGTCATGTCGGTCCACGTCTTCGCATAGCCCCATTTATAACGATACCTCCCGATCTTCGGTATTTTGAAGATTTTTGCGACATTATTAACCGGAATTGTTCCAAATTTCGTAGTTGAAGTTCGTAATAGGTACTACAGCTTAGAGCAAAAAATCGGGTATGCAGGTTTAACGTCTTCATATAGCCCTTATATAACGATACCTCCCGATATTCGGTATTTTGACGATTTTAGCGAAATTTTTTAACGGAATTGTTTCAAATTTCATATTTGAAGTTAGTAAAGGGGACTACAGTCCAAAATAGAAAATTGTCTATGAAGATCCACATCTTCGTATAGCCCTCACATACCTGCCGATACCTGCCGATTTTCGGTATTTTAATTAGCAGCATTACTCGCCGGATTTTTTTTTTCAAATTTCGAATATTAAGCTCGAAATCGGCACTACAGCCTATGACAAAAAATTACTTATGAGGGAACACGACTTCGTATAGCCCCCATGTCATTTTGGAGGTATATTTTTCTCGGATTTTTTTTTTAACACTGTAACGACTCAGATTCCTGCGTTTGCTGAGGTTAGCTCGCGGTGGCCAGAGTTCGTCACAGAAATTTATTTCTGTCAGCGACGGAAGTAAGGAAAATACGAGTCTCTCTATTAATATTGGATCACCCCGGTTTATTATTCTCCGGTTAAATATATTTACAATCAGGATATCGCATAGAGTCCTTGGAGGGATCTCGAATATTCGTTCGGCTCCGAGATAAGTGGACTCCCAGCAGCTTCCCCTGTTCTTATCCCAGTGGCTTTGTCAACTCACTGGATTTGGCCCAGGTGTTCTTGAGCGGCTTTTGACAACTCGCTCTTTCCCCTTCCTGGTGGCTTTACCAACTCACTCAGGTATCTCGTTGTCCTGGACTTTTTTCGCTTCGGCGGTCGCGTTTCCAAGATCTTTGGTTTCACTTTACTCACCTGAAGTTACAAAAATACAGAATAGGCTGCTTCCTTGATCTAGGCTCCTGTTGGCCTAGTGACTCTCAATCAAGTTCCTTCAAAATGGAAGTACGGCCAGGATAAAAGTTAGTTTCGTTTTTACTTGTTTTTTTTTCGGTCGTCTGGATACCTTGTAACGGCCTTTTGAAGGTTTTGCAATCCTATGAGAATTTATCTGTAGGAAATCCCCATTATTAACACTGTGCAACAGCCAATGTGAATGGCCCTTAAAAAATTGTTGGCCTCGGAACCCAAAGCCCTTTTGGGATTTTGATCTACTAACCAAATACTATAATCTCCAAATGAAATTTCCCACTTGCCACACAATGACTGGGAAATTGTAGCACAGGCTTGTTTTTCGTATTACCCATCCAAAAAGTGCCACCTATCGAAACCCTAGAAGGTCTTTCGGAATAAAAGTATTTTCCAATATAAAGTGTATTACAAATCCATTTAAACTTTTTAAACATAACCCCCCCCCCCCCCTTTCGAGGGGCCCAATATCCTCCCAATTTTAGATTCTAGCAATTGGTGTTTCAAAATACGAACTTGTATGCGTAATTGTTTCCTCTTTTACGACATTGCACCATAAGCGCAACCAGCAACAATGCGACAAAGAGCCATTACTTATTTTCACAACAACCACTGATGTTTACAATCGCACTTTTGCAGTGACTCATAGCAAATTGAAATTAAATCAAAGCAATTGTACAACGTAAGCCCCGCCTCCCCCTAAATTCATTCATCTCCATCACAATCATACACATCAACAAGTGGTGGCGCTTAAGGGTCAGTTACTGATAATTTGTGACGCATGACAAAGGCCAAATGGAAATTAGAATATTTTTTTTCTCAAATTACACATTTAAATACGCCTATGGGAATACCCTAACAAACAGCCACAATTAAACATACATACATCCGACATATATATTTGCAATTTGTACTCAGAATTATTTTCATGAAATGTTTTTGTGTTTTTTTTTTTTTTTTTTTTTTTTCGAAAATGTGTTTTACTTCAGCTAACACTCATCCGACGTATGTTTTAGTCGAA